TTGGTAACGATTTATGAACTACAGAACTACAGAGTGTATTAAACTGAACATGTGCACCAAATTATATCTTAAAGTGCATATAGTAGTATCTTAAGGTGCATAGTAGATTATATAACCCATGCTCACCGTAATTTTGAAAATGACATAGAGTGGAATGAAAAATGTATATAGTGTGGATTTTATGTTGAAATGAATTTAAGATTACTTTGTGTTGAAGGTAAAAAGGGTAGGATGGAAGTATGAAGCTATAACACAAAATAAGTGCAGTGCAAATCTGATTTTAAACATGTGCAATAAAATGTATCTTAAGGTGCATAAAAGTTTTTGGATGTAAAGCAAGCAAAAGGGGGGAAGATGAAGTGTTAAATGGAGACCTAAATGGGTCAAGGGACTAAAGGCCAGGAATGTGGAGAGAGAAAAAGATATGCAAATCAGCTGAGTGCATTGCGAATGAGATATTGTGCAGCAATCACAACAGTAGACGTGCATCAGTAGAAAGGGGGACTTGGTACTATATATACAAGCTAAGTAGTTAGCCAAAGAAAAAAATGAAGGCTCAAAGCATTTATTAATTAAATTCCTGATCTTTAGTAATAGGCACTTTATGTTATCAGTAATATGGTAGCATTTGATATATTTTAGATGCTTTTGGATTTTATCAACTTGTTCAAAACTGCGCTATGCTGTTTTGTTTTTGTTTTTTTAGTTTCAGAGAAACTTAAAGCCAAGATGTGGCTGAAATGTGTATATGATATAACATATTGAATTTTAAGCTGCCAAGAAAGTTGATATGTGTTGAGTTGAAAAGTATGAAATTGTAAAATAAAATAAGTGCAGTGCAAATCTGATAGTAAATATGTGCAAGAAAAGGCATCTTTGTGTGCATGAAATTTTATTGTGCAGGTTCTACAAACAAGAAATTGTAGGTAATGACTATGGTTACGAGAAGTGGCAGATTGTTGGATGTAAAGCAAGCATGAGAAAGATAAATATATAAATGGAGACCTAAATGCATGTGACAATGGACTAAAGACTGTGAATGTGGAGTGAGAAAGGAGATGCAAATCAACCGAGTGCATTGGGAATGAGATATTGTGCAAGGATCCCAAGAGTAGATGTGCATTGAAGAAACTAAAGGAGATCCAAATCAGCCGAGTGCTTTGGGAATGAGATACTGTGCAGGAATCACAAGAGTAGATGTTCATGAGAAGAAGGGAAAATTGTGCAAGAGATACTGTGAATGTGGAGTGAGAAAGGAGATGCAAATCGACTGAGTGCATTGGGAATGAGATATTGTGCAGGAATCACAAGAGTAGATGTGCATGAGAAGAAGGGGAAACTTTATGCAAGCTAAGGAGTTAGCCAAAGCAAAAATGAAGGCTCAAACCATTTAAGTTTGTTACGTTTAGTACTAGACACTTTGTTATCGATAATGTTGTAGCATTTGATAAGTTTGAGATGCTTTTGGATTTTATCAACTTGTTCACTGGAAGACTATGTTGTTTTAATTTTTTGAATTTCAGAGAAACGTATATTCAATGCAATATGTGGTTGGAGTTTGTATATGATATAACATATTGAATCATAATCCGCACAGAAGGTTGATAAGTGTTGAGTTAAAAAGTTGTGCCACTTGTGCACATAAATTGTCAACACATGCACCTTTACTTTAACCATTATGCATACACTACGGTGTTTTGATATTTGAACTGAAATGCATCAACATTTTTGAGTAAAATACCATCATATGGATTACAACCTTCAATACAATTCAAAATCCAATACTTGGTGGAGATTTGAGTAACATGAAACTTATTCGAATTACAAGAATCTGTCTCGCCTAGAAGATGAATAGTTGAATTAACATGTTGCACATGTCGTGTTGCTTAAGATTTTGTTACACTCTACGTATGACAATTAAGATTTTGTTGTTGCGAACAATGTGTATCATTCATGCCACCAGAATGATTCATTTTGTTATGTTCCCTTCTTGGAGAAACCATTGCAGAGACTTGTCTTGCAACTATAATAATAAAAAGGTGCAACACATATAATTTGTTAGTGCAAATCATTAAAAAGTCGCAAAACATAATAATAAAATGACTTATGGATTGAATAATATGTGTTAGTACATTACATTTTTGACAAAGTGCAAGAAAGTATACATAAAAGTGCACTAGTAGTTGACTGGAATTGCAACTCAGCATCATTCAAACAAGAAAAATCTCAATCAACATAAGTATGTATGGATGCAGATGTATAGAAACTATGTGAATTGGTGTAGAAGAATACAAGCACGCAAACTACAATGCATATTGTTCATAATTCGATTCAAGTACTTACTAATAAGATCAATTCAATGGCAAAAATAAACTCAATATAGACTCAAATAGAAAAAATACAGACAAGTATATGGAAAAATCGAATAGACAACTAAATAATTTGATATAAACATATAGCCATCCTTGTGGAGAAGATGATATTATTCAAAATTTCAGATTGCTCAAGATTAAAATAGACATAAAACGATCCATGGTAGTTGTGTTATAGATTCAGATCAGATGCACAGGAGAGATGGAAGACGAAGATCAGCGAGGAAGATGATATAAATGAGAGAAATCACTGATTTAAAATGAGAGAAAGAGAATAGCTCGTTGACGATGGTGTGAAATAGAGGAGATGTTGCCGATAAAAAAGATCGAGGATGATGAGAGGCGGACAGTTATCAGCGAAAACAACTGTCTAAATGACCATAGTAGCCTCACACGAATTATTATAATGATTTTAAATGAGGGTGAAATCCAAGGGTCCTCATTCATTCTTATTTCTCTCATTAGATGTTATTCTCATTTGAACCAAACTCTATATATATATATATATATATATATATATATATATTAAAGTATTAAGTATAAGTGTATTACTCATCTTATAGTAATATACTTATATATTATATACTATAAACATTATATTATATATTACTTATAATATATTTACACATTATATATACTATATATACTTATACACATTCATATTTATTTAATATTTAGTTTTTATCCATACTATTGTTATTTACTTATATTTACATATTACATTTAGTTAATATATACTTATATATATATATATATATTAAAGTATTAAGTATAAGTGTATTACTCATCTTATAGTAATATACTTATATATTATATACTATAAACATTAGATTATAGGGAAAATGGAAACTAATAATCCAACCTTTTAGCGGTCTTCTTTCAATAATCCCACCTTTTGATTATTCATGAATAATCCAACCTTTGCACCTCATCTTCATTCACTGGTCCCTGACCGGTTGATGACCTGCTATTCCAAGCTATTTTCTTATCTTTACAAATCATTATACCATAAATCTCATCTTTCACAAAGATAATATTTTGGAAAGATAAGAAAATAACTTGGAATAGTAGGTCATTAACCGACCAGGGACCAATGAATGAAGATGAGGTGCAAAGGTTGGATTATTCATGAATAATCAAAAGGTAGGATTATTGAAAGAAGACCGCAAAAAGGTTGGATTATTAGTTTCCATTTTCCCTTAGATTATATATTACTTATAATATATTTACACATCATATATACTATATATACTTATACACATTCATATTTATTTATTAAAGTAGTTAATTGTTAGACTTGTCATTTATCTATTAAATTAGTTAATTGTTACATTTCTTTACATTTCTCTTTAAAGAAAAAAAATAGTTACTTGTTACATATCATTTATCATTTAACATTAGTTAAACTAGTTACTTATTTAATTGCTACATTCCTCATTAAAGTAAAAAAAGTAGTAAATTTTTACATTTGTCATATTAATATTAGTTAAAGTAGTTAATTGTTACATTTGTCATATTAATATTAGTTAAAGTAGTTAATTGTTACATTTGTCATATTAATATTAGTTAATTGCTACATTGCTCATTAAAGTAAAAAAAACTAGTTAATTTTTACATTTGTCATATTAATATTAGTTAAACTAGTTAATTGTTACATTTCTCATATTAATATTAGTTACTTGCTACATTCTCATTTAAGTAAAAAAAGTAGTAAGTTTTTACATTTGTCAACTAGATATTAGTTAAAGTAGTTAATTGTTACATTTGTCATATTAATATTAGTTAAAGTATACATTTGTCATTTTAAAAACGAACTAGTTAAAGTAGTTAATTGTTACATTTGTCGTATTAATATTAGTTAATTGCTACATTGCTCATTAAAGTTAAAAAAACTAGTTAATTTTTACATTTGTCATATTAATATTAGTTAGACTAGTTAATAGTTACATTTCTCATATTAATATTAGTTACTTGCTACATTTCTCATTAAAGTTAAAAAAAACTAGTTAATTTTTACATTTGTCATATTAATATTAGTTAACCTCATATAAAATATTTGATATCATTTAATATTTGTTCAATTTTAAAGATGGAGCGTGGTAGACATTCTGTAGATGTGGGTAATCTCCAACGCAACCGCAAGAGAGAGATTGCGTCGACTCGTCCTACTTCACGCAAAGGCAAAGGTAAAGCGCGGGCCGAGTCTTCTTTTCAAAGTCGAGATGACTTTGAAACGGATTACCAACGGAGAGATGATATGATGATGTCCAACGAGCAACTACAAAACCTATTCTCCCAAAATGATCCACGCTTTGCACAAAAACAACAATTCCCGACAACCATTGATGAAGAGGAGTTCGAGGATGACGATGCGGAGGAGGATGCGGGGGGCGACGGGACTCACGGCACCCCGGATGATGAGCAAGAGTTGGAGGACGAGGGCGGTTCAACCGAAACTGGTAAGAAATCTAAATCTCCTATTATTGAAAACAATTTTACAAAAAGGAAAGACAAAAATACCGAAAAATAACCGACTAAGCCCTAGACCTTCCTCGCCACTACTGAGTTATATTTTAGAGTGCAAAACTGGCTTAATATAGCTCAATTGGTGATTAATCATTTGAAGAGGGCACATCGCGATCCTTTTATAAGGTCAAAGGGATCAAAGTTAGTGCGATTGTTTCCAGTGTTATATGTTTAGCAATAAGAACTTAATAAGTATTTAATGATGTAAATCAATAGGGTGATGTGATCAACCATTTTTTTAAAAAAATGGTAGAGCACAAGCATGTGAGATGTGTTCCCAGTTGTGAGAAAAAGTCGATATTAATTCTTAGCAACATTTGGTTATGAGCCTCAAATGCAAATCTGGAATTTGGTTCCTTCATTCCCAGGTCTTCAATTGCTGGCACATACGAACCTGGATTGTTGGGTGTAAATATTCTAATTAGAATATTTACATCTGTTGACAATTTCTGAAAATGGTTCCTATTTGAAAATCCTCTTCCATAGTTCCATGCACACCCTAGGCATAACTCTCTATTAACACCCACCAGCAATAACCCCAGATCGATGAGCAAAACTTCCATGGAAAATGAAGAGAAAGAACCCACCGCACCACGGCTCACAAATCTTTCCCAGACCAAACAGAGGACAGCATCAGTTCATAATCCTAAATGAAAATGTGAGCTAATAATTTTACCTCGACAAAATTAGCCCAATATGATGTATACTACTTCATCCATCCCATTTTACTTATCATACTTTCCTTTTTGGGTTGTCCCAAAATAAGTGTCCACTTTCCTTTTTTGGAAAGAATTATATGGCTTACACCATTTCACTTTATTATACTCAAACCTCAACCACAACTTTTACTTTTTCAACCACTTCATTAATAATCGTGTCAAATCAAACTAAGACATATAAAATGGGACAGAGGTAATATCTATTAAGCAAGCAAAAATGTAAATTAAAATAGAAGCTTACGGAGTTTAGTTGGGATAAGGTTTGCAAAGGCGATAAGATTTTGCAGATGCGGAGGAGGCCATTGAACGAGTTGAACGAGACGGAGATGAGGCCGTTCTAAGGATGAGAACGGTGGAACGGGAACCAAACATGTCTGTAAGACAGAATTACAAATATCACGTAATCCAGGGATTACTTTGACAATTTCGGAATTCTTTATATAAATAGCTGATGTGGAATAGTCCCTATCAAACGGGCGTGCTTCGCGCACCTTCGAAGTTACTTTGCGCACCGTTTGAACTCCACTAATGGACTGATTTGTCCTCTCGCAATTTTTGCTCACGAAACTCAAGTAGCACACCCATTGTAATGCTCTTCAAATTTGCCCACTTTACGTTTTTTTAACTTCATTCAGAAAAAAAATTAACTATAATATACTCAGAATCTTAATCATAATGGATTATTGGATTACAAATTTCAACTATCACCAAACTATAAATATTTGTAACGTAGTGTAATGTTCGTATAAGTTTTTTTACAATCTTCTTACACAATAGAAGATCAATATCAAATTGTCTAGAAAATTGTATTCTTGACTTTCATTCTTATGAGTTATTTATTAATTGATCAAAATTTATACTACCTCCGCTCTTAAGTAAAATGCAACATATGAAAATTTACACTATTAACATGTTCTACTTTGACTATAATTTAATTATTAATGTATTAATATTTTTTCATTGAAAAAATATTGTTAATTTGTCTCATTGTAAAATTTCAAAATCTATTTTTTTTAATTTTTTGACTAATACAAAATTATGTATATTAATGGTCAAAGTTATGTCTCGACAAGTGTGAAATGTTGACCATTGCATTTATTTAAGAACGGGGGAAGTATTAATCACATCATCTACTCCACTATTTGTATCTCAGTTTTTATTTCTGATCTGTTTCACTAAATTTATCGCATACAATATTTGATAATATTTTGGTGATCATATATAATTTTCATTCATCTTCTTATTCGATATTGTCTTTATTCTATCTATTATCATATACAGTAATATAGAGTAACTATAATTGACCCTTTTGGATGTTTCAAATTTGACGGTGTACAATCCCAGACCATACCAGATTACACGTAAATAGATTACATCATACCAGGCCAACTTTTAATAGTTGTATAACACACTTAGAACATACATCTAACATATCAGACTAGTTCATAGTTCATACTAGTTTAAGTCTGGGCTGGTCTAGTCTGATATGTTAGATGCATGTTCTATGTGTGTTATACAACTATCAAAAGTTGGTTTGATCTAGTCTATTTACATATAGTCTGGTTTGGTCTGGGATCGTATATAGTCAAATTAAAAAAAAGCCTAAAAACTATAAATATATGTACTCTATATCATAGTGTATGATAATAATAGAATAAAGACAATATCCAATACAAAGATGAATGAAACGTATATATGATCACCCAAATATTACCAAATATTGTATGCGATAAACTTAATAAACATATCAAAAATAAAAACCGAGATACAAATAGTGGGAAGATGAAGTGATTAATATAAATTAATTAAGAAGATCACCTCATAACAATGAAAGACAATAGTACAATTTTCTAGACATTCTTCGGATTAATCTTCCATTTTATAAGAAGATTGTGAAAAACTTATAAGAGCATTATACTATGTTACAAGTATTTATATACTTAAATGGTTTTCTTTCCGAACTAGGAGTATTATACATTCAACATTACATTATTTATAATAATTAATAGAAGGGGTTTTTATTCCAATATTACTAATCGGACCCTATTTCACACAAAAGTGACTTTAAATGGAAATTTACAAAAATAAGACTTCAGCTTACGGAAGTCTCGATACGGAAGACTCGATTTTTACACGTGGTTAAATCAGAGGCGTTCGTTGCAACATGTCACTAAAACACCAAAAAATCAGTTAAACGATAGGGAGCTTCATTCACTGCGAACAGAAGAATCTATGGTTGAAGACGCTGAAGAGGATCGTGAATTTGACCGAGACACACGTTGAAGACGCTAGACGCAATCGCGAATTCTACGGAGATTGGATGACATAGTTACTGACAAACGTTTATTCGCGATCAGAGGTATTTTTAGGTTTTTTGTATGTATCGGTAATGATCTGAATGGTGATGAATCTGAATCGCGAATGTTTAGGATTTTTTGTATGTGTTAGTGACGACTACTTTGGTATAGTAAGTAATTATTGCAGAAACATATGCATTTTGTTCATACATGTAAAGATAGTGTAGATTGAATTTTAAGACAAAACAGTTTATGTAAAAGGAAGGTTGTGGTTATGAAAGTAAGGAGAGTTATTACTGTAGGACAAAGAGATGGAGTGTCAATTAGCTACTAGTTACATTGTGAATGAGGCTTTGTCAATTTGAACGTGTACATACATTATAAATGTAGTAGTGCGGTGTGGTAGGCACTGTAGTAGTTCTGTGTGTTAGTCATTATGATTCCAAAAACAAATTTGAGAGCAAATTCAATGAAGTGCTGTGATTTGTAAGTGAATTTGAGTTATACAATAATTCAAAAGTCAGTTTGCATTCTATGATTCAATTGTGTACAGGTAGTCAGCTAGTTACATGTATACTTAGTAACTGAAGTTGTATGTTTTGATCATGATGATCTGTAGGTTTTTCATTAGTAAACAATTAGTAGCATTTCAAATATCTTGTTTTTTCAGTCACAATGTGTTGCTTGTAACTGAATTCATGATTACACAGAAGTTGACAGCTTGTACAGTGAGTATGATATGTTTTTCCAATTTTTTGTTCTATTTTTTAGTAATGTATTGTTCAATGAAACAGGTATGGAACAGCTTATGGTGACCGTTCTATTTGATGGAAGGTGGAATAAAGAAAAGAGGTTTTTAGCGCACTCTACACATGGACTTTTGCTTGAAGTTGATGGATCATATAGTAATTTGTTGTTTGAACTACGAGAGATGTTAAACCTTGGTAATGATGTGGATATCAAAGCCATATCTTACCATATTGACAAAGCTTTCCACCCGACAACAATAGATAGTGACCAAAGTCTTAAGTTTTATGTGAAGCTCAAAGAAACAAAGAAATATGATGTCACATCATATCCATTGTGTGTGCAAATAAGGAAGGAAGAGAACGGGGTCGGAGAGAAGTTGGATGAACTTGATGAGTCAAGGATTGCAATAAGTAACAGTGAGCTAGACTTAAATAGTCCAACTGAAGAAGTCTTTGTTCCACTGCAATTGGAATATGAAAATTCAAGAGGAGGAAATGAGATATTGTATGAAGAAGTGGCACAGACAAGCAGGCCTCTTATTTCATGGATGATTGATGGTGGGAACGGTTCTGTAGATGGCATGGATACAACCTTGAGAATTAATGGGCTGTATCCGACAAAAGAACAGTTAAAGGAAACACTTCAATTATATGCAATACATAATAAGTTTCAGTTCAGAACAAAGACATCACATCCAGGAGTGTTGCATGTTGTATGCATTGGAAAGAAATGCAAATGGGCAGTTCGTGCGGTACGAGTAGAAGAAACAGATTGCTTTGAAGTGCGAAGGTACGTATATGAATGGAAATTATTGTTAATGAAAGTATTTGGTAATAAATATTGTATGAAAGTTATAATAGTGACAAGTATTGTGTAATTGTCTGCAGGTTTAATTTATTAGACACATGCCCTATTGATTGTAGGATGAGTGGTAATAGACAAGCCACAGCCAACATAATTGGGAAATTGATTAAACATCAATACATGGATGCTTCAAGAAAGCCATATGCTCCTAAATCAATAATGTCGGATTTGAATAGGCAGTTGGGGCTGAATTTGAACTATAAGAAAGCATGGAGAGGAAAAGAGAAAGCATTAAGATCACTAACAGGTACTGATGGTGAATCTTATCAGAAGCTACCTATGTTGTGTTATATGATAAGAGAAACGAATCCTGACTCGTTAGTTTCATTGGATACGGATGAGAATGGGAACTTTGTAAGAATGTTCATGTCATTAGGAGCATGAAGAAAGGGTTGGGCAGCATGTAGACCAATCATAAGTGTGGATGGAGCACACTTGAAAATCTAAATTTAAAGGGACAATACTTTCAGCATGTGCTCTTGATGCAAATCGGCAAATATTTCCCTTGGCTTTTGGTTTCTGTGATAGAGAAAATAAGAATACATGGGCATGGTTTTTTTCGAATTTGAAGGAAGCAATGGGGGAGAGGCCTGATATGTGCATGGTATCGGATCGTAATGAAGGACTAATAAGAGCTGCACGTGATATTTTCCCGAATGTTGACCACGGCCATTGTGTGCAACATATTTTGGGAAATATTATATCAAAGTTCGGTGGGAAAAAAAATAGAGTGACTTGTTTTTTCAATGCAGCAACGCGTGCTCCCACAGTTCATATATGGGACTATTACATGAAGCTGCTTGATGCCGAAGATCCTAAGATACGACAGTACTTGGGTGAAATCGGTGAGACAAAATGGGCAAAGAGCCATATGAGGAAGAGGCGATACTAAATAGTGACATCAAATAATGCAGAAACATTGAACTCTGTTGATGGGACTGCAAGGGAGTACCCGATTTCAATGCTAGTAGAGTTTCTGAGAACAAAATTACAGATATGGTTCCATGACAGGAGGAAAGAGGCACAAGAGCACATGTCAAGATTGTCACCGGAAGCAAAGGAGGTTTTGTCTAATCTGCTTTGTGACTCGTCAGGAATGATTGTGAGTGTTCTTTATTCTGAAAATCAAAAAATGTTTTATAATTATATTAGTGTAATATTATTTATGAAATTATTATATTGTTGGTTGTAAGGTATGCATATTTGAGTAACTGAAATATGATACTGCAAATAATTTGGGAGTAGTTATGATAGTAAAAACTGACTGATAATGATAATGATAGTAAAAACTGACTGATATGGTTCTCAAAATTACAATTGTTCTCAAAAACAATTTGGGAGTAGTTATGATAGTAAAAACTGACTGATAATGATCAATATTTTCAGTAAAAAATATGAACTTTAAAGATTGAATTAGAGTATCAAGCATTTTTTTTCTATCACATGCTCTGATTTTCTGTCCTATGTAGCCGATTTCCTATCATTTCTAATAAGTTG